AGATTGTGGCATAATGAGCTGAAAGCTCATTTGTCCGCACTCTAAAGTATGTGACGTCATTAATCTGCGCTCGCATTTAGGCTCCTTGCGCGTCTTCTGTGAATGCTCGCCTTTTTGCTTCGTGCTGCGCGCTGCTGTGACCACTTCCAGCGTGTCTTTTGGAAACTCTCGCCTGTTGCTTTTTGCTGCACGCGGCTAAGCCGGTGACCATTCTGGGCGGACAACTTCCCATTTGCGCTTCATTCAGATGGCTGTTGTGCGGGCGTCTGTGGACTTCAGGTGCGGGTATGACTGGTTTTAATTTATTGTATTAAAGTGTAGCAACTGGTTAGGTGGCAACTCTCCTGCATTTGTTTTGTTAGTTCGTGATTGGGTGGGTGAATGACGACTGCATTAAACTAGTGAGGGTATGTCCTTTTGGGTGCCTGGCCTCGCAGCTACGGTAGGTCACCATCGTATTTCCCCTTTTAAAAAGGTATACGTGCCCATATAGATTGTTTTAACCATTTGTGTGAATTACAGGAGAACTACAGTTCGTGCAGTGTCACCGCTGTTTTGTCCTAGGCCATTTGATACTGCTGATACAATGTTTTGAGACTGCTGTGCTGTTACATCTTCATATTTTCTGCTTCCACACACTTCCTCAGTGGATGTTTTGCCCACAGTAGGATTTCAAGTTATATTTTCCCATTTGATATCTTATTTTGGAGTAATTTTGGTTTCCCTCTTTTTTTGGGGGGGTTTTCTTTCTTTTGTATTTTTCATGCCTTAAACTGTCTTTCTTGGTAAATATAATATTGTGAATTGATTTATTTTTTTGATATTGTTTATGCATTTGAAGTGTTGATTTATGTATAACACAACATAATTGTTTTCTTGTTTATTGATTTTTGTAAAGTTTATTTTCAAAATTTGTTTACTATAATTGTTTATTTCATTTGGATTCCGCCTATTAAGGTTGAATGTCAAGGCCTGTAGGTGGATGAGTATTTGTCATCCACCTGTTTGCTTGTATGACCTTTTTTATTAATCTCTTATTTTTGTGTGTTGTGTGTGTGTGTGTGGTGTAGAGAGTGTGTTTGTTTTTAGGAGCTGTGGCCTTTTGGGCTTAGGAAATTGATTGTTTCCCTCCTATCTTTGGTGGTGGTGTCTACAACGTGTGCCGTGACCGATCATTTCACTGGGGCTCTTTGTGCTGTGAGAGTGAGTGTGTAGTGTGTATGAGGGGAATATACACATCTCTTGCCAAGGCCGCAGCTTCCTTTTTTTGAACGTTGTATTTGAGGTTTGTCTTTCGTGTATGGGGTCTTGTTATAACTTATAATAAACTTCCTTTTTGGAATTTTGTATAAATACCTGTGTCTCCATGTTTCCTGTCTTTGGTGAGGAACCTGTGTGCGGATAATATTCTCTGGGTGAAATTCCCAGGGTGGCGTAGTCTAAACTAAAACATACAACATATATGTAGTGTCCTTTGTCCCTGTGGTTGCCACATTTAGTTGATTGGAACTTCTTAATTATTGCCCTGATGGTCAAAATGGGGATTTTCAATTCTTTAGCTATTTTCTTACAGCCACTTTCTATTTTGTGATGCTCAACAATCTTTGGATGCACATCATAACTATATTCTTTGGTTTTACACATTGTGATGGATGATAAGGGAATTTGGCCTTTGTGTTTTCTCATATTTAAATTCCTGTGAAACAAGAAGTCATAGCTAGACAATTTCATGTTCTTAGTCACCCTGGTGTGCTAAAAAAGGTAAATATTAATTGGAATATACTTCAGAGATATACAATTATAGGGGTGCCAATAATTGTGGCCAACGTGTTTTGGAGAAAAAACATTTCATAATTCTGGTCTACAACTGGTCAGAATTAATTGTGGATAGAAGTTACAGAAGGTTCTTTTGTAAATTTCCACTGCTTGTTATAGAGAGCTGTGGTTAGAATTATTATACAGATAAACAATGCTAAGCGTGTGATGCAGAACTTTGCTCTATTTCTAGTTTCGCCTCTCGTGAAGCGAAATTTGCTGAGGCGTATGATGTGAAGGTGGTTAGGTCAGCAGAGGTGTGTGTGTGTGTGTGTGTGTGTGTATGTGTATGTGTGTGTGCTTGAGTGTGGTTATACATGTGCTGCACTCTTGACAAAGTTTAAAAAACCTGTAATACACACAAAATCTGTTTGCTTTGACTCAAAGGGTCAATGTCTGTTGATTGAATTTATCTCAGTTTAAATGGCCAGTTTTGAGTCTGTCATAACAGTCTTGGTAGACATTTTTTAACCTTTTGCAAATTTTCCATCAGGTATATTTTAAACACACTGCTGAAGTGGCAGAGAGCACAGGATGACAACTTTTGGTTACATTTTATTTTAGGACATACTTTACTTACTCAAATAAGTACTGAGTAATATTAATTACATGTACTTACTCTATTTCATTTAAACATTATTTTTACGGAACATAACGGAACATAACATTCCGGTGGCGCTGTTCTGCTTGCGACCCGGGCACGCTGTCTACTGCGATCTTCGTTTCGTTTTGTTTGTTGTTTGCGTTGGTTTATATGTTTGTGAATGTGTTGCTGCGCTGTGGGAGTGTGAAGCCAACATGTCAAGATTTATCCATTACATATATCTTGTGTTGATCATTGTCGGACTATGTGCACCATGCCAAACTCATTCAGCGGGCATTCAGGCCCAGCGTCTTACTATTTACACCCGAGATGCGCTGCTGGCACTCCAATCGTCCAATCTTCCACCTGTGGATTTACCAGCCTGCGTGAGCGCTCGGACAGCACGGTCGAGGAAAAGGGGTCGGCGCGGTGGAGAGCGCCAGCGTTTACGACGGAGAGGCAGCAGGCCTCCTCTACCTTCAATGATACTATGCAACGCAAGATCACTTCGAGCTAAAAATAGACGAACTTCGTATTAATACCAGGACATGCTCTGAGTATCGCACCTCAAGTTTAATGGTGATCACGGAAACGTGGTTACACCGAGATATCCAAAACTCCCTGGTTGACATCGATGGATTTTCACTTGTCAGGGGAGACAGGGCTGAACAATCCGGAAAAACAAGAGGTGGCGGTATGGCTGTGTATGTAAGTAACAATTGGTGCAAACAGTACACAGTTAGGGAAACTCTTTGCTGTCCGGATGTTGAGATTTTGCATTTGACTATGAGACCGTTTTACCTCCCAAGGGAGTTCGGAAGTGTGGCCGTGTGCGTTGTGTACATTCCCCCAAACGGGAATGCAGCTAGGGCCGCAGCTCGCATTGCTGACTGTGTACACCAAGAACTGCAGCGTGCTCCGGGCGCCCCCGTGTTTGTAATGGGCGACTTCAACCACTGTAAACATGAATTAGCAAGTTTACAGTGGGTTCGAACAATATATCAAGTGTAGCACACGTGGAAATAAGACTCTTGACAAATGTTATGGCAACGTCAAAAATGCCTATGTAGCCAAACCAAAAGCACCGTTGGCCAATTCAGACCACAACGTGATTCACTTAATTCCCATCTACAAAACCATGCTGAAACGCAGTAAGCCACAAGTGAAAACAGTCACCGTGTGGTCTGATGAAGGGATAGAAACACTAAAAGGATGCTTCTTGTGTACAGACTGGAGTGTGTTCCACGACACAGATATTGATGTCACAACAGACACAATCACAGACTATATAAATTATTGTATAGATAGCGTCCTTACAAAGAAAGAGGTTGTGGTTTATCCAAACAATAAGCCTTACATAACCAAGGACATAAAAGACTGCATAAATCGAAAAAAAGGCAACTTTCAGAAATAAAGATAGAACTGAGCTAAAAGTGGTACAAAAGGAACTGAACCAACTGTTTAATAAAGCCAGGAAACAGCCAAAGGAAGTAATTGAGAGCCACTTCACAACCATGAATTCGAAAAAACTCTTATAGATTTTTTATAGATTTTTATAGATTTCTACCTATCAAACAAGGCTAGGATACTGCTTACTGCTAACACAGTTAAATATGTAACATTCTGTTTACCTGATATAAACATTTAGTAGCCTATAAGCATTGCAAAGAAATTGATTAATTTATGTTGTAAACATAGTCCTGTATTGCCATTTTAGAATTAGTATGATATAAAAGATAATGTCATTTTAATTATACATTTGCTGATTGTTTGTATATGAGCAGATTTCCTTTCACAGATTATACATTTTTGGTGATATATAGGTATACATGCTGATCTTCTTTTTATAGCTATTTTTCAAGATAAAGGTAAATAGTTGAAAAGGAAAATTTAGGCTGTAAAAAAAATGTTTGGGAAAAAAATGAAAGGAGATTTATGAGTATAATCGGCTTTAGGGGAAATTGTTGTATCGACATAACTAAAGTTAGTCTTTGCTTTCATCAAACATAAATTCCTCAAAAATAGTAAAGATTTTTACTTATGGATCCAAGTTCAAATATCCTGCATTTTGAGTTAGGCTGAGCATTAACATAATGGTGCTGTGGAACTTTCTTTCTTACAAATTTATCAGAGAATAACAAATTTGTTATCATACAGTAAGTCCCTGTGCTTTGAAACAAAAATTATCAAAATGTCAATATTTATTTATTTTTACAATGTTTAAAAATGATGAAATACAATCTGTGATGAAATATGATGAAATGAAGCCCACCTGGTGAAATATCTTTTCATTCAAAACATTTTATTATTAGGTATTCTTCAGTACATTTGTGAACACACTGTAACAGATTGCAGATTTTTATTATTTTAAATAATTATTTAAAAAAAACATGTATTCTGAATTTGCATGTGTACAATATGTTACATAAACAATATGTATATTGTATTTTGTTATTAATTCTGAGAGATTTATAGACTTTAGTAAAGTCATGTGATGTGAAAATGTGGACAATGACTATAGAGATGGTCAACACTCAGTTGGTCACGGTCATAAAAAACAACAACAATAGTGACAAACAAATAATATAAAAAAGACACCCAATTGATCACATTTACATTTATGCATTTAGCAGACAGTTTTATCCAAAGCTATTTATATTGCATTCAAAGTACACATTTGATCAGTTCTTGCTTTCCCTTTGGAATCGAACCTATGACCATGCATTGCTATCATGTGCTATTGAGCCACAGGAAGGCCATTAAGACTGCTGGAAGACCAGTTCATCATACTCTTCATCTGTGAAAAATAATTTGTAATTTGTGTAATGCAGACATAGCTAGTCATTGTTATTGTGCAGCACAAAATGGCCAAAATGGTTTCACGCTAGAAACACAAGATCCTATTATTTGTCGTATAGCCGAATTACTGTGTTTTCCAGTACTGTAATATTGTATTAAAAAAATACAACAGTTAATTTGCAAGAAATCTTTGACGTACCGATATCAGAGAACTCGTCCCACACTGCGACAGAACTAAGCCATCATGGAGATTGATTTACAGCATTTGCATGGAAAGAAATAATGAACAAAAATAGATAAGACATCAATAATCTGAAAGCTGACATGATACATATGTAATCAATCGGAGACTGGAAAATTAAAGATAAAACAGTGCAAAGCTCATTAGTTCATTTATTCATTTTTTACTGGCTTACCAGACAACACTTCGTATTTCACCAGTACCAGCTGTATCCGGTTTGGGCATTTCTAGAATATAAATTTGTAAGAGACAAAATTTGCTCAGAACCGAAGCAAAGAGAACAAAAACACCCTATGAAATTTGAAAAGTGGTGTTTAGCAGTTTTTAATCCGTTTGTTTAGCTTTGATGTTATTGGTATGGTGGTGGACACCTAAATGCTTACAAAATTAACTTTTATCAGATAAATATTTAAATTGTACAGATTTTAGTATGCATCGTTTGTTTCTGTGGAACACAAAAAAAAAAAAAAAGGTTTTGTCCATTCAATGAAAGTCAATGGCATTCAATATTATTTGGATCCCAGCATTCTTCTGATTCTAATCATCTTTCACATTCCACAAGTAATACAGGGGTGGAATAACATGAGGGTGAGTAAATGATGATACAACGTTACGTCGAATGACGACAAAATGGGGTTTCGCTTAGAAAGGCTATCAACTTCGAGTATTACAAAACGAGCCAATGGCAAAGAAATGCCATGGGTCTGCGAATTTTGCATAGCATGACTCCGCCCCACCTCGTGGGTACATAAGGAAGTACGCTGGCAATATACAGATGTTACTTGCTGAGGAGCCGAGACTGAACTCAGGCTGTTCCAGTGGTACAGCGAAGTGGCAGGGAGACGTAACGACGAAATGGGGTTCCCAGTCTAATCACGCCACCTCAGCTGTCTTCCAGTGCCCTGCGTAAGTCTGAGCTCCCTGTCGTGAGACCAGCACGGACGAAGGACTCCTACTTAAAACAGGAATACCAAGGTACACTGGGAAGCATACCTCAGTGGAAATATGCAATCAGTGCCTGCCCGAAGGGGGGGACTTAGAGAATACACATATGACCCAGAGGGGCTGCATATGGAGAAACACTGGGGTGTCCAGCCCGCAGGGTGGAATGTTTCAACCCCAGGAGTGGCAAGGTGGCTTGCCAAGGGAAAGACACATGCTCGGAGAGGCTTACAGTGGAAATACACATGTGGGGGTCACCAGTGGGGAACCAAGCACATGGAGGCACCTATTCAACGTGAAAGCTGCCGCAGGCATAGACTCTGGCGTTGACATCAACAGCGCTGGAGGAACTCAGGGCTTGTGGGAAAGCTCACCTGAGGAATATATCGCATGTATCCAGTCCATGGAGTGGAATGGCGAGCAAGCGAAGACACCTGAGTGGGTCCTAGTACCGGCTGGTTGAAGCGAGTACATGGGAGGACACTGGCTCCACTCGGAGATTGAGAATCTGGCGAATGTGTTGGGTGTCGCCCAGCCTGCAGCTCTGCAGATGTCTGTTAGCGAGGTGCCATGCGCTAGAGCCCAAGAGGAAGCCACACTCTGGGTGGACTAGGCTTTCACACCAAGGGGGCACGGTCGACCTTGCTGCTGGTATGCTAAGCAATGGCGTCCACTATGCAGTGAGACAGCCTCTGCTTGGACGGAGCCTTTCCCTTCAGCTTCCCACCATAACAGACAAAGAGCTGGACTGAGGTCCTGAAACACTGTGTTCTCTCTACGTAAGCACGGAGGGCGCGTACTGGACAGAGCAGTGCCAAGGCTGGGTCTGCCTCCTCCAGCGGCTGCGGTTGCAGGTTCACCACCTGATCTCGAAAGGGAGTGGTGGGAACCTTGGGCACATATCCAGGCCGGGGTCTCAGGATCACGTAAGAATAGGCCGGCATGAATTCCAGGCACGCTTCGTCAACGGAAAATGTGTGCAGGTCCCCTACCCTCTTAATGGAGGCCAATGCAACCAGGAGAGCTGTCTTAACTGACAGGAGCTTAAGCTCCACTGATTGCAGAAGCTCAAAGGGAGCACTCTGCAGGGCAGTTAGAACCACTGAGAGGTCCCAAGAGGGAACGATAGGAGGCTGAGGAGGATTCAGTCTCCTCGCTCTTCTCAGGAACCTGATGATCAGGTCGTGCTTTCCCACGGACATACCCTCAACTGCGTTGGGATGTGCGGCGATAGCGGCAACATAGAGTTTCAGGGTGGAGGGAGACAGCCTTCACTTCAACCCATCTTGCAGGAAGGAAAGCACGACACTGATCGGGCATTTTCTGGGGTCTTCTCGTGAGAAGAGCACCAGTTGACAAAGAGGTTCCACTCCAATGCGTAGGCATGTCTCGTGGACAATGTTCTAGCTGAAGTGATGGTAGCCACCACCACTGGTGGTAGGGTACACAAACCTGCCTTGTCCGGGTCTGTGCAAGAAGGCTCACTGGGGGAAACGCATACTTGGGAAGGCCCTGCCGCTAGCTGTGCGCCAGTGCGTCCGTGCCGAGCGTGCCCTTGGTCAGGGAGTAAAACAGGTCGCAATGGGACGAAATGTGGCGGCAAACAAGTCTACCTGTGCATCCCCAAACTGATCCCAAATCAGCTGAACCGACTGGGGATGGAGTCGCCATTCTCCAGGAAGAGGCTGAAACCGTGAAGCTCGTCGGCTGCACAATTCAGGGTTCCCGTAATATAATGGCTCGAAGCGACCTCAGATGCTTCTGACTCCATAAGAGGAGGTGTCGGGTGAGTTGCGAGATACGACGGGAGCGTAGACCATCTTGTCGGTTGATGTACGCTACTGTCGCGGTATTGTCTGATTGGACTAGTACATTCTGATTCTTGAGCAACGCATGGAAGCGGTGCAGAGCGAGACGTACTGCCAGCAACTCGAGGCAATCAACATGCCAAAGGCGCTGATGCCTTTGGTGGAGGCATCTGTTGAGACAACAACATGCCTGGAAACTCGTTCTAAGGGCACTCCGGCCCGTATAAAGCTGAGGTTCGTCCACGGGGTGAAGGTCTGACGGCAGGTCGGAGTAACTGGTACTCGGAGCGTGCCTTGTTGCCATGCCCACCTCGGGACTCGATCGCGAAGCCAGAGCTGAAGCAGTCTCATATGAAGCAATCTGAGCGGCGTTGCTGCAGCTGCAGATGCCATATGCCCCAGGAGCCTCTGAAATAACTTCAGTGGAACTCTTGCCCTCGAACTGTATAAGGCAAGTCAGCAGTGACTGCGCGCGCGCTTGCTCATAGGCTGCGCGCACATGGCGACCGAGTCGATTTCCATACAGAGAAAAGAGATCCTCTGCACGGGGCAAAGTTTTCTCTTTTCCCAGTTGACCCGAAGGCCCAGACGAGCTCGGTGCCGGAGCACTAGGTCCCTGTGTTTACAAACCTGGCCACGAGAGTGAGCTAGGATCAGCCAGTCGTTGAGATAGTTCAGGATGCGAACCCCGTGTTGCCGTAGTGGCACAAGGGCTGCCTCGACCACTTTCGTGAAGGCGCGAGGAGACAGGGCTAGCCCGAATGGGAGAACCACGTACTTGTATGTCCACCTCTCGAAAACAAACCAAGGGAACGTCTGTGTCGAGGAAGAAAGGAGACATGGAATTAGGCGTCCTTCAGGTCAATCGCTGCAAACTGCCATCCGCACCCTCTGGGGGCTCAGAGATAGGATGTCAGTTCTTTGGAGAAGAGGTTCTCCCCCGGCCCTCCACCGGGGGAAGGAGTGGCCCTGCAACCATTTCCTGAAAGAACTGCAACCCACCTCTGAGCTGCCCGTAACGGGAGAGACACATCGCCTGGTGTTCGGGAGGCTGCGGGACTGGTACGGGCAGGGGCGCCTTCCTGCGACCACCTCCGCGGCGCGGCCCATGCTGCTGGGGTCGTGCGGGAGTGTGCGGAAGTCGCAGGAGGGCGCGCTCGGCGGCAAGCGGACTGAGGTGTCTGAGCCGGCGGCTGGGTGACAGCAGCTGGCCGCGGGGTCAGAACATGTTTGGTAGCCTCAGTCTGCTTCTGGGCGGCCGAGAACTGGGCAGAGTCCTCGACCGTGCCGCCGAAGAGGCCAGCCTGGGATATGGGGGAGTTGAGGAAGCGGGTTCGCTCAACCTCGCGCATATCAACCAGGTTAATCCAGGGATGTCTGACCACGCATGTGGACATCACCTGACCCAGGGAGCATGCGGTCACCTTCGTCGGTCGGTGGTGGCAGGCAGCTCTTGGATGAGCCCTGAATCAGCCCTAACCTCGTGCATGTCATTGAGCACCCTGAAGGATGGCAATAACATGCAGTGAGGCGGCAGCCTGCCCTGCAGCTCTATAGGTCTTTGCCACCGGAGTAGACGAAAACCTACAGGCATTGGAGGGGTGCTTAGGGTCGCCACGCCAGGTGGAGGCGCTGTGGGGACACAGATGTGCTGCCACAGAACACTCCATAGGGGGAACCCCAGTGTACCCTTGGCCGCGGCCTCTGCGAGGGCAGAAAAGGCGGAAGAGGCCGCTGAGCAATCGCGAAAAGTCAAAGCAGACTCCCACGATCTCATGACCTCTTCATGCACGTCTGAGTAGAAAGGATTTGGGATCGCCTCCCCCAAAAACCAATCATCAGCCTTAAGTGCTCGGGACATGGCAGATGGTTCCACACAAGCTTGATACTCGCGGTGGCCTGGGAAAGTATTGCTGTCAACTGTGGATCAGACTCGTTATGCTAGCACACTCGAGGGTGGCAGCACAGACGAGCCCTCATCTCCAGAGGACTCCAGCTCACCTTGTAATGCGGCGATAGTTTGTCACTCATCGAGTCTCGACCGTTACATTGCGATGGTCATGTTCCCGCTGGGAGAATGTGATGCATCCACGAACGCTGTCTGAGCATGATCGAAGCCTAAACACGTCAAAACAGCGCTCGTGCCAATCAGCTGAATCTTTTAGACTACCTCACTCAGAAATACACGGGCAGATCGTCTTTAGAAAGTTGTGCCGCGTGCACGCTCTTTTTGAGAGAGAAAAGCTTGCAGCAGTGCTGAAGTGCCCAGGGAGAAACACACGCTGTTCAGTTCAGCAGGCAGGAATGTGAAACTCGCTGGAACAAGACATCACACCAACACTGACTGGAAGCTGCTCGTCTTGAAGATTCTTGAAGATAGTCAGAGAATAGGCTGCAGGAGTGAAGAGGACTTCTTGGCTCCGAAGCAAAAACATATCTGCATATTGCTAGCGTACTTCCTTATATACCCACGAGGTGGGGCAGAGTCACGCTATGCAAAATCCGCAGACCCATGGCATTTCTTAATACTCGAAGTTGATAGGCTTTCTAAGCGAAACCCCATTTCGTCGTCATTCGACGTAACTCGAAGTGACAACGAAAGGGAACTGTCATTCTTGGGCAAACTAAACCTTCAAAATATATACCATTGCCACTTACATTTATGTACAGAACAATATAAGCAAAACTTTTAAGAATGACTATGGGAAGATTACTAAGCAACAAGAGTTAATTAATATTCATGAGCTCAGTTGTTACAGCGTACCCATTTACACCCCCTCTCCTCCCCCAACTAATTCTGTCACTACTGGTCATGTCCCAATCTCCTGTTGTTAATAGAAAATAGTTTAACAAAGCAACAAGAACCATACAGTGAATACCTTCGTAGAACACATCATTTCCTTTGAGCTCTGTCTCATTCAAGGATCTGTTGATTAGAAATTCATAAAAACTTTGTTAAAAATTCAATATATTTTAATTGAAAATCTCAAACAGACCTTTCCTTGTGGAATCCAAGGCATCCTATTAGAAACAAAACGTTGTGAGTGTTGGGATTTAAACAGAATTTTTCAAGTGAAACGTTAAAGTGAAATATGTCAATGTTTGCAGTTTAGGAGAAAGTGTCACAGTACCTCTTTTGCGGATCACTGCCCAAATTCCCAGAAACAGACTGAGGAATAACACTATGGTAGAGCACATTATTATGACAATAATGATTTTGTCAAAGCCGCTGCTAGATGCCACTGTCAAAGAAATCCCAGAAACACAAAAAATATTTTATTGTAGGTTTGATTAAATGTTGCAATATAATACTGTAGTTAACTACCCTTGTAAAATAATATAATTATGCATAATTACATGTAACTAACCCTAATCCCAACCCTATATTAAGTTACTTAATTTTAGTAAATAACTTAAATTTATAATTACAGTGTAACAAATATACCTTAAAACAAAGTGTAACCAAGTATTTTTTTAAACTATTCTTGCAGGTAATATGATATTAATGAAATAAAATGCCACTAGACTGTACTTGGAAAGTACACACTATTGTCTATGCTTCTTCAAGGATTTGTTAACCCAAAATGAAAAGTCTGTCATAATTTACTCACCTTAATTTCGTTCCGAATCAGAAAGACTTTCATTCATCTTCGAAACACAATTTAAGATATTTTTAATGCAAAAGTGATTTCTTTCACTCCGTTGACAGCTACACAACATGTTCATAAAGAGATCGTAAAACTAATCCAGATGAATAGAGCAGTTTAGTCCAAATTTTCTGAAAAGACTTGGTCGCTTTATACGCTGAGCAGATTTAATTTAGGCTTTTAGTCACATATAAACAATCATAAACTCACACATCAGTTGTGGTAAACAGAAGCTCAAGCATATTCGCTTGACGTGCGAGAACAAATGAGGTTTATTCTCATGTGTTACGCAGCACGTTGTCCTCACGCTTCAAGCAGGTTCGGTTGAGCTTCAGTTTATGTTCACTGATCAATGTTTATATGTGAATTAAAGCCTAAATTCAATCTGTTCATCCTATAAAGCGAGTGAGTCTCTTCAGAATTTTTTTACTAAAACACTCAATTCATATGGATTAGTACGGAAGCGTATTGCATTCACTTGAGGAAAAAAATCTACTCTGTTTTTCTGAATTAACGAGTTAATTATCTCAAAATTATGAGTAACTCATTAATTCATAATAATTTTTAATGGAAAAAAGTTTTTGCTCTGTTTTTCTGAATTAATGACTTAATTATCTCAAAATTATGAGTAACTCATTAATTCATAAAAACAGAGTGAAAAAATGTTTTTCAAGAAAAATTCCCCCTTAATTCTGAGATATTAACTCGTTAATTCAGAAAAACAGAGCAAAAACTTTTTTTTCATGAATAAATATCTCGTAATTCTGAGATAAATAACTCGTTAATTCAGAAAAACAGAGCAAAAACGTTTACCATGAAAAATTATCTCGTAATTCTGAGATAATTAACTCGTTAATTCAGAAAAACAGAGTAGATTTTTTTTCCTCAAGTGAATGCAATACGCTTCAGTAGATTAGTAAGACGATCTCTTTTTGGACTTCTTGAAGCGTCAGAGTGGTAGTTTGGTAGCTGTCAACGGAGGGACAGAAATCCCTCAGATTTCATCAAAAAGATCTTCATTTGTGTTCTGAAGATGAATGAAAGTCTTGCAGGTTCGGAGTGACATGACGGAGAGTAATTAATGACAGAATTTTCATGTTTGGGTGAACTAACCCCAAGACAAGTAAGTAACCTTTCATTATGATAAAATCATTATTTTTTGTTATGCTTTAAAGAAGGACATTTATTTTCATCTGTTGGCTAACATACTAAATCACATGTAAAGTACTTGGCTATCATTTTAACTGTAATGTAAAGGGCTTCTACACCACTTTTTTCGCCTTTAATTACCCTCTGATTTTAGGGATAGGGAGGGTTAGGTTTAGGTGTAGGGATAGGGATAGGGTTAGGACTGGTTTTGGACAGGATTGTTGTTCCAGGATCAACAAATGATCCAGGAACATGTCTTACTTGGCAAAGTTACGGCAACATTAAATGTTTGTCACTACATTCGGTAGAACATACTACTGTACTTAAGTGGGTAAAAAAAACTCTGAATTTCAGCTAATTGCATTTCATATAAATTCTAACAATAATACATTTTCTTTTATTTTTTAATTAACATGCAATGTAGTCACTGAAAACATGTTTGCATGGAACTTATTTTAAAGTACTGTACATTATTTATGTTATAACAACTCTTTTCAAAGGTATGCTAAATAGTACTTCTTTTTCACAAAGGTATATTCTCTCGCTAAACTGAGTAAATAAGAGTAAGAATGCATGGCACCCCGTACAGCCTTATTAACACATTAACCATACAAAAGTTTGGTTTTGTTCTTCCCCTCCCATTCTTACCAACTATCTGAAGGTTGACTTTATTATTTCGATCAAGTCTCATTCCATGGTAAGGGAGAATGTTTAACAAAGCACAACTGTATGTTCCAGCATCTTCCATCCGGACCTCTCTGAGGGTGAATGTTGTCATCGTTTCTTTTGTGTCCCAAATATTGACTTTAATGGGCTTTTCATTTTTGATGAGAAAAGCCAAAATCATATTATTGGACAGGTTTTTGTTCATAGGATTGGATGTTGTACAGATAAACTCAGCATCACTTCCCACTGCCACCTCAGACTGTAGCAAATGTATCTGTGAATTAAATAAAGATTCTGTAGAGAGAAAGGGAACACTTATGGTTAAATGTTTAGCATGGCCTTTAATGCATTCCAGGACAAAGGGTCTAAAGCAAAAAGAAAACACAATTTCAAACATTTCTCTCTCATTAAAGGCAATTTTGTACAACAGTGAGTCTATTGTGGTTAATCTGCACAAGTGTGTTATTCAACATGTCTCATCTGTGCACAGGAACCAAACACACTCTCAAATGTAAGCAGAAGTGTCATACATCTTACCGATCACATTTATGAAGATGATATTATTACCATATCCCATCACTTTGGTTATTTCCAAGTGCTCTTCAGAAAACAGACAGCTGTAGTTGCCCGAATGGTCCATTTCTATTCTCTCTATTTTAAAGGTGATGTCTTGTCGAGTGGGTCCGTGTTTCATATCTATAGCTTTACCATCTTTACACAGATATACATAAACTGCCTTAGCCTCTGGTTTTGTAAAACCAAATGTACTGCAAGTAACCTCCAGTCTACCACCTTCTGGTACTTCTGTATTTCCAGTGAAAATCTTGGCTTTTTGAAGCTGTTCGCCTGTGAAGGAAATAAGACGTTTGTTCATCCTAAAAAAGTACAATATTACATTAACTGCAAAGGTGTTTATTCAGTGCACTATTAAAACTTACCTTGACTTTGAAGGATTAGATTCACTGAGATATCTAGGAAATAATAATAATAATTTATCATAAAAAAGGTTTAATTTATTTATTTAATTTATTGAATATTTAAGATTTTGTAATTTCAGTACTTACATGCAAGTAGAAACACACCAACCATGGCTGCTGATCAGGATTTCTTTGACTTTTCTTCTTTTACAAGATAACTGAGTTATTCTTAGCTTGCAGTCAATACGCTGTTGCAGTGTCACTGCACTTTGAACAGAATAGGCAGTGCTTGCACTAAAGTATCTATGGCAGTCATGCTGTGAAGGCGTTCTAAAGCCGGAAACATTGTCAAATAGCGCTGAAAGGTGTATTTTAAATCTATTTTGAATCTACCTCACACCTGCTTTTTCTGATGGATATTCATTACTCCTCAACATCAAAATACTATATAGTTCACATCCTTCCGAGCTTTCCAATGTAGCTTTCCAGTATTAAGCAAAATTTTCCAGCAATGATCAGTGTAGTGCAATCAAACATTGTTTTATTGTCATATTTATTTAGCAAATTCAACTTCACTGCTGAGCACACTGAGGTAAACACACACAAACTCTCTCTCTCACACACACACACACACACACACACACACACACACACACACACACACACACACAATTATTGTGTTTGCTCTTATTTTAGCCTAATAGGTGTTCCTGATATCTCTTGCACATGCAACAATACATAAATTAATTACATTGTGTTTGTATATAGTAAAAAATAATATTTATTATTATTATTACATTTTTATTCCTCTTTTTTAACCCACAGTTTGATAATGATTGTTTGCTGTTATGTTGTTTTATTGTGTTTTTGCTGTTAGATCATAATTGCTGTTCCCTTCTGAAGTTGTATTACCATTTATAGAATTAAACTGAATTAAATACCAATTAATTGCAAAATGTACAGTATAAAGTGTTTTGAATTATCACTATCCATCCCTTATTTTGTTAGATTTTTTAATGATCAAATACTGAGTAAAACAAATATACATTGTGCATTGTGTTCCCTTTTTAACCAAATGTTATTGTTTGATTGTAATCATAATGCAAAACCTGATACTTATCTAACAAAAATATGGGAATTAAAATAATTAAAGTGAAAGCCATTGAAAAAGGACCAGAACCAAGGAATGTCACAGAACTTAAAGCATACCTGGGGTTGCTGAACTATTATAATTAGTTCCTTCCAACGCTGCTAGCCCCCCTACATCTGCTGCTGAGAAAAGATGTTCAGTGGATGTGGAAAAAGCCACAACAAGAAGTTTTTAAGGAATCTAAAGCTCTACTAAAATCAGCAGAGGTGCTAGTGCATTACTCATCAGATTCCGAACTGGTTCTGGCTTGTGACGCCTCAGCATACGGGGTTGTTGCAGTGCTCTCGTAGCGTAGAAAAGGAGAGAGTGTGGAGAAACCCCTTGGGTTCATGTCAAGAACGCTAACGTCTGCAGAGAAGCGTTATTCACAGTTGGACAAAGAAGGCTTAGCTGTGATTTTTGGGATCCAAAGGTTTTATAAGTACTTGTATGGTCGTGCATTCACAATTTGCACTGATCATAAGCCCTTGATTCATTTGTTCAATGAAACGAAGGCAGTTCCTCAAATGGGATCACCCAGAGTGCAAAGGTGGGCTGTGATGTTACAAGCATATCAGTACAACAATGTGCACAAGCCAGGAAAGTGTCACCAAAATGCTGATGCTCTAAGTAGACTCCCAGTGCCAGGTGAGGGAGAACCTGATGACAATAATGATCACGTGCTGATGATGGACTTAACCCTCTGGGGTCTAAGGTGTTTTTGGGGTCCTTGAGATGTTTTGACATGCCCTGACATCTGTGCTTTTTTCAGTTGCTTATAAACATATTAATGGCACAGGTGAAATTACACTCTATTTAGCACAAACAGGGCTACCATAATAGAGCTTAAGGAGGTAAAGAGCAAAGTGTGTACACTCGAGGTGAAAATGGCAAAAGGAGAAAAACGTCTCAGGTTACTACTGTAACCATAGTTCCCTGAGAAAGGGAACGAGACGATGCGTCACTTGACGCTTTGGGAACGCCCCCAGCGTGAATGCGTCTGAGCATCAATGTCAACTAGTCCAATGGAAAGAATGAGCGTCACGGGCGGGTGACGTCATGACCAGGAAGGCATAAGAGCACATCCGGTGAAACGCGGCATTAGCTTCAAAAAGTCGAAGCAAGCCGATCACAGGGATGCAGGAAGTATGGCAGGGTGACGCATCGTCTCGTTCCCTTTCTCAGGGAACTATGGTTACAGTAGTAACCTGAGACGTTCCCTTTCGAGGGAACTCGCGATGCGTCACTTGACGCTTTGGGAACGAGAATACCCAAAACGCCAGAATTCCAAGTACCTGAGTGTTAGTCTGTTGGAACTAAGCACTAAGCACCTGAGAACCTGGGGCAGCATCCAGGTCCAAACTGTAAAACCTGACGAACGTGAGCGGTGAGGACCAGCCTGCCGCATCACATACGTCTTGAAGAGAAACTCCAAATAATAAGGCTTTAGAGGCCGCCATACCCCTCGTAGAGTGAGCTCTGACCACCAAAGGACACGGCTGGTCAGAGTACTCGTATGCAAGTGAAATAGCCTCAACTATCCACTTACTAACCGTCTGTTTAGAAGCAGGAAGACCCTTCTTAGGTGATCCAAAGCAAATAAATAACTGGTCGGACTTCCTCATTGAAGATGTCCGATGAACATAAGTATCCAGTGCTCGCACTGGACACAAGAGGTTCAGCCTTTCCTGGTCCGCAGATGTAAAAGGAGGACAGAAACCTGCAGCACAATAGGCCTCGGAATAATGGTAGGCACCTTTGGAACATATCCATGTTTCGGGTAAGAATGCCTTGGCCATCCCCGGTGCACTCAAGGCAGGTGGGGACCGAAAGGGCCTGAAGGTCTGACTCTAATAGGGATGAAATAGCTAGCAGAAAATAGTCTTAAAAGAAAGGAACTTCTCTGAGACCAAATCTAAGGGCTCGAAGGGAGCCCCAGATAGGCCTTCTAGAACTATTGCAAGGTCCCAAGCCAGCACCCTAGTGCAAGTTGCAGGCCTCAGCCTCAAAGTGCCACGAAGGAAACGAGTGATCAGGGGGTCTCGACCCAAAAATGTACTACCCACCAGGGCGTGGAAAGCCGCAATGGCCGCCACGTATACCTTAAGCGTGGAAGGACATAGACCTGATACAAAGCGTTCTTGCAGAAACTCGAATACTGTGTTTACTGAACAGTTAACCGGATCCCACTGACGCTGGTAACACCAAGAAGTGAAAAACTCTCGAAATAGTGAATATAGTTTCCTCGTAGCGGGAGCTCTGGAGCTTAGAATGGTCTCAACAACCTCGGTTGAGAGACCACTCTCTATGAGTTGGGCCCCCTCAGAGGCCAAACCCACAGTTTCCAAATCCCCTGCCGGGGGTGCAATATTGCATCCCCTGCCTGAGACGGAAGGTCTCTCCTGATCGGGACCTCCAAGGGAGGTCCGTCGAGGAGAAAAATTAGGTCCGCAAACCAAATTCAGCTCGGCCAGGGTGGTGCTACTAAATAGGCTTATTCCATCCTGGCGGAATCACTCCAGAACTCCTGGGAGCAGAGCAACAGAGGGAAATGCGTACAGACGTAGCCTCAGCCACGTCTGCACCATAGCAACCAGCCCCGTGGGGACTGGTTGAGTGAGGGATAACCAGAGTGGACAGTGCGTCGTATGCTGAGACGAGAACAAATCCACTTCTGCCTGGCCATAAAACTCCCATATTTGCTCCACCGCCTCGGGGTGGAGTCCCCTGGCCTCAGCCCCTGCCTCGACAGGGTGTCTGCTCCAATATTCTGGCCCCCCTGGAATATACACTGCCCTCAGACAGCGTAATTTCCTGAGGGACCAAAATAATAGGCCACCAACGTGTTGTCTGTGGGTCAAGAACCAGAGTTTCCTCCATATAACCAAGGCGCGGGGATACTGCCGCGTGATCTTGATCGTACGGAGTGGGTTTCCCCTCAGGGAGAACCCTCTGGTCCTGAGCCACCACTGTAAAGGTCTCACGTACAGCAGGTCAAAGGGTATCACATTGAACGCTGCTGCCCTGAGGCCCAACAGTCACTGTTTCAGAACAACACATGATGGCCCCTCAGGTCTGGGAGGAGATGTCTCAACGCATTGTAGACGACCATCATCTCTAGGCAATTCATGTGCCAAGCGAGATGATGACTCCTCCCAAGCCCTGAGCTGAGCGGCCTTCCAATACCGCTCCCCAGCCGGTGAGGGAAGCATCTGTCGAGATAGCAACTCGATGGCAAAGAGCTCCCAACACCGAACCCTGGGTTAAGAACCAGTGTTTCCTCCATATAACCAAGGCACGAAGGCACGGCCGCGTGATCTTGATCATACGAAGTGGGTTTCCCCTCGGGGAGAACCCTCTGGTCCTGCGCCACCACTGCAAAGGTCTCATGTACAGCAGGCCAAAAGGTATCCCGTTGGACGCTACTGCCACAAGACCCAACAGTCTCTCGAACTGTTTTACAGTGCGTGACTGGCCTAGCCTCAGCTCTTTTGTGGCTGTTAGGATAGCAGCTACACGAACGGGCGACAGAGTGGCCCGCATCTTCACTGAATCCCATACCACACCAAGGAAAGTGGTTCTCTGTACTGGAGAAAGCACACTCTTCTTGGCATTGAGCCTCAACCCCAACATCTGCATATGAGCGAGAACGACACCTCGGTGCCGAACCGCTAACTGTTCTGATTCCGCTAGAATCAGCCAGTCATCTATGCAATTCAGAATGCGTATACACTGCAGCCTGGCGGGGCCAGAGCTGCGTCTATACACTTCGTGAATGTGCGGGGTGATAGAGCTAGACCGAAAGGAAGTGCCTGATACTGGTGTTCTTTGCCCCAAAGAAAACCTCAGGAACCTCCTGTGCTGAGGGAGGATGGAGATATGGAAGTATACGTCTTTTAGATCTATCGTGACAAACCAGTCCTCGGATCTGATTTGAGTCACGATCTGTTTGAGTGTCAGCATCTTGGACTTGAGTTCCAGCACCAAACACTCCAACAGACGAAGATCTAGTATGTGACGCTGCTCTCCATCCTTTTTTGGAACAATGAGATAACGACTGTAAAGACCCGACGCAATGTCGGGTGAGTACACCTGCTCTATAGCTTTCTTTGCTAACAGGGCCTTTACCCCTTGCTCCATTACCAGAGAGATTACCATTACCCATAGAGATA